TATAAAATATAAATTTTACTCCAAAAATTACATTTTTATTATGTGTTTTCTGACATTATACATGTTCAGATGGCGGTGTTTACCTGCACAGTAACGCGAGGTGTTGCATCACTGCAAACATCATAAGTACTCGGCTGATGGCATGTCTTTATGTTAAAGTTACCTTTTATAAGTTATTACGATGTTCCGATGTTCGTGCGACTATTCAAGATAATCCTGAATTTTTTTAAGCATCTGAAAAACAAAAATACATGGATACATACATTGAACACTGTTTATTGTAATCCGCACTGAATTTCACTATGAACACGAGTAACCTGAGCGCCACAGTGGATTTGTTGCTCTGCTATTTCCAATGACGTGAAGATGTTTGATCACTGTCCAACATTTTTTTTTATGGGAGCCACAGATTATGGTATCGTGAAGAGCGTTATTGCAAGGGATGACTGTACATTAGTTCATCAAAATACCCTGACCCACAGCCCCCTTTAATAAATAACTGATGCCTAATATTTTTGTAAAAATATGTACTGTTATCATGCAAAATGATGTCTCATGGGTTTTTTTCACATGATTTATTTTTTCACCACATATTGTTGAACATGTTGAAAATTGACGTGAGTAGATATTTCATCAATCCCGAATATTTTTTTAATGTGCCGTGAATCTTGAAGCTTAACATCATCAAATGGATGTCCTATTTTTGCTGTATTTAATGTCCTGCTACATAAGTTCCCGCCAACAAACTTCTAGATCCATCTGCAAGTTAACTTTACAAAAACACTCCCTTCTAATTTACTGCTGAGATGCCAACCCATACGATCGTATTTGTTACTAAAAAACAACACAAAATACAGGACTATGATAGCAGTAAAAATATACAAATTTTAAAAAATACTGTAAATTAAATTAAATTATTAAATAGCATATGTACCATACACAATAAATTTCAACCACATTTTATTCTGTATTTAGCTATATGTGGATACTTAATACTGATTCAGGTGAGTACAATGTTAATGACAAGTTCTTAGAATATCTATAGATTTTTTATTAAATATGAAATATCTTTGGAAAAAATACTAATTCTGGCCCCAAAATACTAATTTTTGCATCAGTTTCTGGCCAAACTACTATTTGGGCTAATAGCATCTCTGTTACTGGATAGTCTATCCTGTATTGTGTTCATTAGAGATTTCTTAGAAAACAGCAGGGCAGGTTGCATACATGATTGCCAAGTAACTATTATGAAATATATCTTACTTGTGATGTTTCGACTTAGTTTTTCTGCCTATCTCAAATGATGTAATTTGTGGTTGAAATAAGCATTTCCCCTTTGTCATTTTTTAAGCACTTGGGCAACTTATTATGGCAAGTAGGACAAATGTACTTATTTGGCTTAATGGGTTTGAACAACTTAGTATGGATATGAAACTACATGGGTGTAATGTATTGTTTTGTGTCATTCAGTTAATGAACATACTTTTAATACATGAAATCATTTTGTGAATGAGGTTCTTCCCAAAGAAATTTTCAATTGTTCCTATTTTTGTACAGTGTGCCTTACAAATTGAAAGCGTTTGCAAATTGTTTGATAGAAGAGTATTTTCAAATATCTTTAAACATTTATTCATGTTTGGATTACTATATTTTGCCTGACGTTTGCCAATCATGATATTTCATTTAGATATGCATTTTAAAAATATTGCTACTCATAAATATGATGTGTTTTTAGAAAGCTTCCAGTTCACTTAATTCTAAACGTTTTGATGTTGAAGTGGTGATTGGTAAACTTGAAGTCCTATCATCTTTGTTGATGTTATTCATTGTGCTGAGTTGTGTTATTTTATTGTACCCTCGACACGTGTATTGGGGTCAAATTCCACATTGGCCCTGAAATACTTTTCAAAGTGGCATAAAACTGAACTCTTTCTCAGTCTGAAATGGTTTCATTGATATCAGGATACTGGAAAGGATGCAATGAGTGAGTGATTTGGGTTTAATGCCACTTTGAATAGTATTCCAGTTACATGACATTGATGTTCGAGTAATACATGAAATGATGCATGTCCCCGCTGAATGGTGACCGCTTTACTGGAAGCCAAACGCACAGATGTCGTACTGACAAACCTAATAAAATAACCAGTGTGAACTGAGATCCCAGCCCATGATCATTGTTTCTGCCACATCAACTTTGATGACAAGGCTACCTGTGCCATCAGGGAGAAAGGAATTCTAGTCTTAGTAGATGTGTTTTCTCTTGTGTCCAGCAACTTTAAGGTTTCTGTTCTGTTACTGAATGTAGAAAATAAACATATTCTGATGCACAATGATATCAAACTTACTATCCAAGACCTTTCATTCCACTGTCAACACATCACGAGTCTGCATACATTATTTACATTCATCTATCAATACATTGGGCAGTTTTCTTTCCAGTGGAGAATATTTTCTCACCAATGCATCCAGCAGTGTCTCAAATAATGGGGCCACCTTATTTTGCCTCCAACTATTGGTTATTGACTGCCCAGACTGATGAACACTATGTCTACACTGGTTAAATACATTGTGATCCCTATGTTTAACTGCAGGAAACTTTCTTAAATTCAACCCCCCAAATAGATTGAGTTTATGACTACCATTTAGAATTTGTTTGTGCAGGAGGACATAACAATTTTTTGGGGAAACACATTTTTGTTGTTTGTCATAACAATCCAGCGCTACATCTTATGACGATCATTATGTACTACTGAAAGAAAGAATTCCATCAAAAGGTTCCCATCCTCAAAATAATAATGGCTTTTAAAAATCACTTTAATTAATTACATTAAATTATTGAAGTTATTGAATCACTAAATCATTTGATTTCAGGGAATGTTTTTTTCCCTGAAGCATTCATGCATGGAGAAGGAATGCTTCAGCATCAATAGGTCGACACAGACCCATTTCAATTGTTGCAAAAGAACACCTCCACACCCCATTTGAATCAGATGTGTCTACAGGTGAAGAATATAATGTGTACAAGCCCATGGAGTATTGATGGTTAATTTCCTTCTATAGCAGTATTTGTAATGTCACAGATAGTCTTGATGTACTTGACAATCAATGATTCAGAAACTGTTTCCATCATTTATTATTAAGAGGTCTACTCTTGAATTTCTGTTGACTCATTAACCAGGACACTCGATATTAAAATGTAATGATTGAAAAACCCTGTTTTGTTTTCTGTAAATATAGGAATACAATCCAGCATTTTCTCCCTTGATGACATTGTAGCTTGAGAGCATTGCGCAGCCTCAGAAGATTCATTTTTTGGTATGTCTCATCATCAGTCTTTTTTCCAGTTGTTCAATAAATTCTAAATTTGCTTTGTTTTGTTTTGTTTGTTTGGTGGTGGGGTAGCCTAGTGGTTAAAGCTTCACTCATCATGCTGAAGGCCCTGGTTCAATTCCCCACATCTGTACAATGTGTGAAGCCCATTTCTGGTGTCCCCCGTGATATTGGTGGAATATTGCTAAAAGTGGCGTAAAACTAAACTCACTCACTCACTTGTTGCTCTCCATAGTGGTCAGCATTCATCTAGCAATATCAACATAGAAAATAATGAACTCCAGACCAAGCAAACCAGAAGTAAATGCATGCCACTTCCAAAGCCTTTGTAATATGATGACACAATAGCCAATTGCAAATATCTAGGCCGGACAACCCAATCCAGTTCAATGTCATTCAGACCGTTGCATATCCAGGTTAGAATTGATCTTTCTGTAACCCATGCTGGTTGTAAGAGGCGACTAACCGGATCAGGTGGTCAAGCTCACTGACTTGGTTTACATATGTCATCGTATCCCAATTGCTTAGATCGATGCTCATATTTTTTATCACTGGATTGCCTGGTCCAGACTTGATTATTTACAGACCTCAAGCTATATGGCCTAGCTGGAATATTGCTGAGTGCGGCATAAAACTAAACTCACTCACACACTAATGTAATACTGAGAAAATAAACTTTGATGGTGTTAATATGAATACTCACGATCATTGACGAAGGGGTCTTGCATCCACCCATTAGTTTTTTGTCGTGCTTGTTGACCACGAACAACACAGTTATGACGCCCCAGTTTCACAATAACCAACTGATCTCTTTTATACTCCATTTCGTGGAGCACAGTCCTTGTCAAGATATTGTCTCATATAATTTAATCCAGGACACCTGGGTCCCGACCCACAAAGCCTTCGTAGCGCTAAGACATTCGTAAGCCTAATGATAAACTATAGAGTTACGACAGGTTACGTTACGAACGCTTTGTGGATCGGGACCCTGATAACCAGGATCTTTTTCACCACATAACGTCCTTAACTGTCTGTCTTCAGGCTCACAATGAAGCTATGGCTGTCTTGCAACTAACACCTGACAAGATGTCCTGAATACAAATCCGGCTGAAATCTGAATTAGTATTGTCGGAATTGCAGTTCAGAACTCAGGAGGAAACTCTTCTATGTTTCCTCAATGACATGCCGACTTATAACTCACAATACAGTGAAAAGGGACTTCGGGGAAATGTTTGGTAATTTGCTAAACCTTTCTTTTTTTGTTGCAAGTATGTGGTCCTAACGTCTTGCTAAATATATCTGGTTAATGGTTAATTTATGAACTTGATATATGTTCGTGCATTATGTTTTTTCTCCTTTGACATGGTACCTACTTATACCCTTGAAGGTCCGGGTTAGAATATTGATCTTCAGTAACCCGTGCTTGTCGTAAGAGGCGACTAACGGGATCAGGTGGTCAGGCTCGCTGACTTGGCAGACGCATGTCATCGGTTCCCATTTGCGCAAATAGATGCTCATGCTGTTGATCACTGGATTGTCTGGTCCGGACTCGATTATTTACAGACCGCCGCCATATAGCTGGGATATTGCTGAGTGCGGCGTAAAACTAAACTCACTACTTACTCACTCGTGAGTGGAATTCACAATACAGAGAGAAATGTTTTGTAGTTCGCCAAACGTTAATGTTTTTGTTTTTTTTAGTACGCTAACGTCTTCTAACGTCTTGTTTTTTATTTAAGAAGATGCCATATTGAACGTGCATGGTGACATGATCACAATGCAGTAGTATATAAATATGCTAATGTGACGTAAACCCACTCACAGTCCAAACAATACTTCTCATTTAATTAAAAATGTCAATGGCAGATAATCATCTGCAGGTCCTTTCAACAGATTATCTCATGAGAGTTCTTTTCACAGAAAGAGCAGTGACAAGGGATATCGCGGCAACACCCAGTACCACCCATAGTGGAGTCAGCCACCTTGTCTGCTCATGTCCTTCCTTGCTGCCCTCTGCCCATTGAGGCCTCCATGACGGTCCCTTCTTTGGGCCTGGATAGGACAGAACCCCTGCCAAACGTTTAGCATCGTCTGTGCAGGCTATGATTGGTAGCTTGTCTATTGCCATGGGCCCACCTACTTCCATATACGAGAACATTGCCAGCCCATTACAGGGCCAGTGGGATGTCATCCTCATTCCTTGGTATGCCTGCTTCTTCTGTCTGAGATATTGCTTACCAGCCCAAACGGTCGGGCCCATGGAAACAAACACAACGTATCTCCATCTTCCAGTTTTGCGTCTGTTTTCCTTTGGTCGAACATTTGCATGGATGAGTCTTGAATCCCATATGATCATCCCTCCTTTAGGTGCTGGCACCCTTCGGCGTGTAACTCCATTGTGCGCAGTGTACCACTCCACGTCTGCATCTGTAAGCCCATAGAACTTGTTGGTGATGCTTCTCATCTTCGCTCTTGGAGAAGCTTCAAAGAAATCACTGTGCAACACATGCGATCCTTCCAGAACCTCGAACGTCCAGTCATCCTCATCAGCAGCCTCTAAATACACGGCTCCTTGGTAGGCGTGGAGCCCAACTCGCTCTACTCCCTGATCACAATGGAGCCAATGCTTTCCAGGGACGGCAAACGTCTCCTCGCCATCTTCAGGTGGCCGCCCAATTGCAACTGCATCAAAGCTTGTCAGAAGTTGGTCAGTGCCCCATATCTGCTCGAAGACCTTCTTGGCCTTGAGGCGGCTTCCCCAGGAAGGCTCCATGTGACCGATTTGGTATCGTTGGATCAGAGAGTTGCTTGATATTGGCCACGAATCATTGAACTGTGCAAGCCACTGTCTGTAGATGTTGATGTACCTGTCACAGTCGTCTGGGGACATCACGTCTTTCACAACAGTGTAACCTTTACTCTCCAGCTCGGATATGTCTACCGTGGGCGGCATTTTTCAGTCTCAGCGGATACCTGGAAGAGAATGGAGAACGCACCGTCATATTACTACCACCATATTATGTTCAGAAGCAGTCGTTATAATTTTTGGCAACAGTATAGGTCCTCATTACTCATGGTTGTTAGTCATAAGAGCCCCGGTGTGGTAACCTAGTGGTTGGAGCGTCCACTCATCACGTCTAAGACCCGGGTTTGATTACCCACTAGGTAGACTAACTACTAGTCTCTATATTTTACGAAAAAAACAGTTCATAATAAAAAATATGATGAAAAGGGGCCCTGAGACTTTCTTCATTTTCAGATTTGCGACATAATCTAGACCTGCATGGCTTTCTTGGATATGTTTGTTTCAGGGTCTGTATGACCTCTGGCGTCCCCCAACAATCAGGTTAGATTCTCCAGATAGGAACAATATGTGAAGCCCATTTTTGCTGTTTCCAGTCGTGATATTGCTTGAATATTTCTAAAAGCTACACAAAACCTTTTTCACCTACTCACAAGAGTAAATAAATATGGCCATCCGGTAGTCAAGTTCTGCGACTTTACTGAATGTCATCGTATTCCATTTGCGGTCATTTTCATACTTTATCAATCCTGGTTTGTCTGACCCAGGTTCAGCTATTTACAACCGGTCGTAAATATTCCTTGAAGATGAGGGGGCGGAGGGGTAGCCTTGTGGCTAAAGCGTTTGCTCATTACGCCGAAGACTAGGGTTCCATTCCCCACATGGGTCCAATGTGTGAAGCCCATTTCTGGTATCCCCCGCCGTGATATTGCTGGAATATTGCTGAATGCGGCTTAACACCTTACTCATTCACTCCTTGAATATTAGTCTCCTGAGTGCAACGAACATTCAGAAGTAACCAAACGTTTTAACACTACACCAAACATGATGAATCTATGTCGTCATGGGGGCGGTGTGTTAGCCTAGTGGTTAAAGCATTCGGTCACCACGCTGAAGGCCCGGCCCGATCTCCCATATGGGTACTATGTGTGAAACAGATTTCTGGTGTCCCCCGCCGTGATATTGCAGGAATATTGTTAAAAGCGATATGCTGTTCAAAGCGGCTGTAAGACAAACAAACTCCATTCTTTCTAAACTCTGTCTACAAATTGTATGAATTATATATATTCTCAGATCCAGAAGAGCTCAAATTTCAAGTTCCTATCAGGCTGAAAATATGCCGTTTATTATGGTACCACTTAAACCTAAATTTGGCCTGAAAGTTAACACCAGTCTACCCGTGAGCAGCAACATTCGTCTTGATATCTATTTAAACACTTATTGATCCCTACCCGTGTTCTTCAGTACCCGTGAATATGCCGATATCGATGCTCATGCTGTTGATCACTGGTCCACTGGTCCAGACTTGATTATTTACAAACCGCCGCCATTTAGCTGGAATATTGCTGAGTGTGGCATTAAACAATAAGCAAGCAAAACAAACAAGTTCCATAAGCAGATCTCACATAATAAATAGACTCAACGAACACATAGCCTAATGGCATGGCACCAGCATATCTAAGTGAACTGCTAAGCCCCTACAAACCACCAAGACAGCTGCGATCTGAAAGCAAATTCTTATCGAAAACTCCTTTTTTATATAGACTAGCCTCTTATGGAAAGCGTTCTTTCAGTGTTTGTGCTCCATCGCTGTGGAACGAACTGCCTGGACACGAATTATAGCCACCGGATCTCCAGGGGCTGGGGTATTTGTGTGAATTTTTTACGTTTACTTGTATATTATAAATAATATATCTGATATAGAGACAGACACTGTTTGTTTACCCACAACAAAGATTTTCAGAACCTTTAGCATGCCCAGTGAACGATTATTTTAGTTATAAATAACGAAAACAGTTTTTCAGCATTTTCTTTCACAGATATCCAGTCGGACCGAAAGGTTTGATGTCAATCAGGTTGTAAATCCTCGACCCCCCTGTATAAATTGCACATCCTTATGCACCTCGCAGTATTTAAGGTGAACACATATAAGAGTTTATTACCCATATGGTGAAACATAACCAGTGTCATACGTGCACATGTGCACGTATCCCTTTTGCCAAGCAACCATCTGTATTTCGTCGTCTGTGACGTCATTAAACAAATGATCGTGACGTCAGTGAAGAGGGCCGTCACATGCTTACCGTGTTTTACTGCACAAGTGTACATAAATAAAATGGATAATAAAGAAATTATTACACACGCATGTGTGTGTCATACGACTTATACGAAACTTGTGCAAAATTATGTATTGTCCTCGCTCTCGCTGGCAATAAAACATTTCACAGTCGTTTCGTAGTTATAAGTCGTATGACACAATTGCTTGTGTAATAATTTCTATGCATTTGTTAGCCCCTTGAAGATATATTTCTGTATAACCATATCCACACTCCACGGATCCTTTCTCACAGTGAGGCGGAATATTGATTTATGAAAAACCTGACAACTTTCAGTGACATAGTTAACATTTAACTAGTACAACGCTGTTCATTATATACATCAGAACTTACCTTGTAGTAGAAACTTGTAGTAGAATCACAACACTGTCAAACCACCGACCTAACGAATGTTTATCGATAACGTAGTGTCCATGCATAAGTACTGTGGGGTTATATATAGTTCCACTCATGTGATAGTCACGTGACTTCCACATAGCTTCATACAACCTGTCAATAATGACGATTGACCTAGCTCCGCACAGCGTCGAATATCGATGGCGGTCAACAAGACTTTGCCGAGAGTATTACAACAACAGTTCCTACGTATGAATCATTATCGTTTCGTAATATACTCTGACAAAGAGAAGTGAGAAATACGCTGGATTCTATATGAAAAACTAAAAATGAACACACGTACATAGATGGATATAATTTTTAATTATATAAAAAACAATTATTCTGTCTGAAGAAAGTACTTACTTTGGTTCCGAATTTGGTGTCAGTTACATCCTTGTTAGAATTTCAGTGTGTTGACGTCAAATCGTTCTTTACAAATACAATGAACTATCGAGCAAAGGACTCTTTCCTCGTTCCTGTTAATTACTGAACTTTTCATAATTTGCAAATTTCAGTAACAGGAATGAGGAAAGAGTTTATCAACCTTCTGGACACGGTTGAGCGAGTGAGTGAGTTTAGCTTTACGCTGCTTACAGCAACATTCCAGCTGTATGGCGGTGGACACGATTATAAACAAATGATAATCGAAGCATTGACACTTCGGTCACAACTAAATGTTTATGGCAAACCGTTTGTTCAGAATAGCCCGACAAGAGTGTTCAGAATAGCCCGACAAGAGTGTTCAGACGAGTCGACAAGAGTTAAAAACAATTATGAGAATTTGGTGATGTGAAATATCTATTAGCAACAGGATTGGGGGACAGGACTTGCCTTTGTATGTGTATATGATTCACACTTAACGGTTATTTGTTAGTATTACTTACTGCTCCGTGCAGGAATTAGGCGGGATATGGTGTTAGAGCGGTGTCGGGTATTACCGAACTGCTATGTCTTAATTTAATTGTCGAATTTTACTGGGTGTATTGAATTGAAAAAAAACCGTTTGGTCATTCTGAAAGATAATAGATGAACCGAGAATCGCTGAGAATGTTTTAACGAGAACTTTCAGCCATATTGCATCTAGTATTTATAAAGGGGCGGTGGGGTAACCTAGTGGTTAAAACGTTGGCTCGTCACGGCGAACACCCAGGTTCGATTCCCCACATGTGGTACAATGTGTGAAGCCCATTTCTGGTGTTCCCCGCCGTGATATTGCTGGAATATTGTTAAAAGCGGCTTTAAACCATACTCACTCACTCTGGCAGTGAGCAGGAAAAATATCTGGTCCTCGGCTGACTTATATTTCCGAAATGTTATGTGCCACAGAACAGTTATTATGTTTTCAACATTTAACAGTTGAATGAACCTACATGTGTTCCCGGTATACAATATAATGTAATGTGAATAAGAAGCCAAGCGTCTTTAGGACCCAGAGTGTATTAGATGTACGGTGACATTATAGCCTCATGTGTATAAGAAGCCAAGTGTCTTTAAGGCCCAGAGTGTATTAGATGTCCGGTAACATTATGATCTCATGGGTATAAGAAGCCAATTGTCTTTAAGGCCCAGAGTGTATTAGATGTCCGGTAACATTATAGTCTCATGTGTATAAGAAGCCAATTGTCTTTAGGACCCAGAGTGTATTAGATGTCCGGTAACATTATAGCCTCATGTGTATAAGAAGCCAAGTGTCTTTAAGGCCCAGAGTGTATTAGATATCCGGTAACATTATGGTCTGATGTGTATAAGAAGCCAAGTGTCTTTAACACCGAGAGAGTATAAGATGTCCGGCAACATTATAGTCTCATGTGTATAAGAAGCCAAGTGTCTTTAAGACCAGAGTGTATAAGATATCCGTAACATTATGGTATAATGTGTATAAGAAGCCAAATGTCTTTAAGACCGAGAGTGTATTAGATGTCCGGTAACATTATGGTCTGATGTGTATAAGAAGCCAAATGTCTTTAAGACCAAGAGTGTATTAGATGTCCGGCAACATTATAGTCTCATGTGTATAAGAAGCCAAATGTCTTTAAGACCAAGAGTGTATTAGATGTCCGGCAACATTATGGTATAATGTGTATAAGAAGCCAAGTGTCTTTGAGGTGAGGTGAGGTGAGGTGAAATTGGGTTTAACGTCGTACTTGAGAATATTTCGCTCATATGACGACGTGCATGCGTGCGTATGTGTATGTGCGGCTGCTTGTACTAGTCCAGACTGAAGCTGGTTTTATAGTGCTAGCCCACTGAGATACCATGCCGCAGTGAAGCTTGAATACCCCACTCAGACACATTATACTGACTCCGAGCTGACCAGTCCTTGTTGTACCCATTAATGCCGAGCGCCAGGCAGGGACCAACAAGTACCAGGTATTTTAACGTCTTTTGGTATGACGCTCTCCGGGCAGACGCTCTATCCACTACCACACGGAGGCGGTCTTTCTGGACTACTAAGTGTCTTAAGGCACAGAGTGTATTAGATTTTCCGGTGAACATTATGGTCTAGTATGCATTAAAAGCCAAATGCATTTCAGGTCAAGTTTGAAAAAGATACCTGGTGAAGATAATGGTCGAACCTGTATTGAAGGCCCGGTATTTACAAATGTATTAATAGTCCAGTGTGTATTGAAGACCTGGTGTGTATTAGAAGCCAAGTGTATATTTAAGGCCCAGTATGTATTAGTAGTCCAGAACGTACTATAGACCTGGTTTACAATAGTTGCCCAGGATGTATTTGTAATCCAGGGTGTACTAGAGGACCAATATGAAATGGTATTCAAACGTGTATTAGAGACCCAGTGTACAGTAGTGAGCCAGTGTGTAGTATTATATGAAAAGGGTCTTTTGGGCTGAATACTTTCTTGCAGAAGTCGGACAGAAATCTCTGAAACGCATAGATTTGTAAAAAAAACCATGCAAACTAAATACACGAATACGATAGATTTATTCCATAACATACTTTAGAGAAACAAACACACCCCTACAAATCCACACTGCAAATACACAGTAAAACAACTGGAGGCAATTCTCAGCACTTATAGTGAGTGAGTGAGTTGGGTTTTACGCCGCTTTCAGCAAAATTCCAGCAATATAACTAATTCAATCATTCCATTTGTTACACCTGTGGCAGTGAGTGGGTGGGGTGGGGTGGTGTAACCTTGTGGTCAAAGCGTTCGCTCGTCACGCCGAAGATCCAGGTTCGATTCCCTACATGGGTACAAAGTGTGAAACCCATTTCTGATGTCCACCGCCGTGATATTGCTGGAATATTCCTGAAAGCAGTGTAAATACTCACTCACTCAGGTCGAAGCTGCCTACTTGGGTGTAACGTTTTGAAACATGAACGCCTATTCCAGACCATACCTGTATTTATCCTCGCAATAACATTTTGTTCAAATTATCTAAGTCCTGTTTTTCACGGTGAACTGTTAATACGACTTGTAGCGTACAGCTCAAGTACACACTGAAAAACGCTTTCCCCCATTTTTCAACATGTCCACACATATGGCGCCTGGCTTAGTTTCATGTTCCCAAAAGTCAAGTTCAATGGCATCTCCAAAATTGCATTCTTTTCTGTACCACATGAAAGCAGATTTTAGTTTTAACGGTTGCAACCCTAAGCCAGACTGGGTTGTCTGCACTTTAACTAAACCTTCACAGCAATATTTCAAATAATTGGTAAAATGAACATGACGGTTTGCATCTATGTCGCTGTAAGACACTTGCCCTGCAAACACATTGCTTACACGTGATTGGTCAGATGGCCTCTCAAGAGCACTGAATCTCAATGGCTCGCCTGTGCAGAAGTGCCCGTATGTACTCTTCCATTGCTGGGGAATCTCGACAGGCTTTTTACTGGTTCTGTCGAGTATTATTGAATTACATCGATACTTGACCAGTGGAACTGAACCGGATTTCATCACTGTGTCCATGACGATGGTGCTTTTGCCGACGTTGCTGACGGTGGTGTCTGTACACAGAGGGGCTTTCACAACAGCTTCGTCATGAAGCTGCTCGCTTAAGTCGATTTTTGCGGTCACTGCAAACGCATCAGTTTCACCGAAGAGCTGGTGAAGGCCGAGAAACGACTCCCCGCCGTCTGTTGGATGTATGAGACAAATCTGGGTTGAATCTATGATGTCCATCACGCTCCATGGATGCGGAGATGCTGCGAATATGAAAGGACAATTGACATTACTTTCCCTGTATTCTTTGTCTCAATTAACCACACAAACACACACACACGCACGTACACACGCACACATATAACCCATGGAAGACATACAGGGTAAAACAAACACGGCCGCCAGCGCCTGCGTGTACGAATTCACACATCGCATCTCGTCATCTCACTGGTAACATCTGGACTCGACTATTGCAACTCACTCCTAGAGGGCGCCACCAGTGTTCAGCTATCGAAGTTGCAACGAGTGCAAAATGCAGCTGCCAGAATCGTAACCCGGATCAAACCATTTGAACATATCACTCAAATACTTAAGCAGCTCCACTGGCTACCCATCCAGCACAGAATAATGTTCAAAACTCGTCTGCTTTGTTTTCAAGGGTCTAACTGGCCAAGTGCCGCACTACATTACTGAACTGATTCAGCCCTACATCTCGTGAGAACATTACGATCCAAATCCAAGTCACTGCTTGTGATCCCTCCAGTGAGAAACCTTCAAGTATGCTGCCGCAAAGACATGGAACGAACTGTCTGAATGTTTGAAAAACTTTTTAAATCTACATGACTTCAAACGAAGTCTCAAAACTTATCTCTTTAGACTGTCATATCCAGATGACTAGTTTCAGCTCAAGTGACTATGTTTTTAATTCTGTGCGCTTTGAGAATTTACTGTGAATGGAAATAGCGCTTTACAAATGGACTATAATAACATGTTCGCAAGCGTATGTACGCACGCACGCTCGCTCGCACCCAAGTACAACGCAGAATCACTCACCGTTTCCATGGAAGTTGGTATACGCGAGTCCAGGAACGATAACTCTACCACAATTAGTCGCCTTTATTATTCTCTCATACCCAAGCTGCTTAATAATTCTGAAAATAGAGACAATACTTGAAAATAGAACATGAATTTATTTCGTAGCCTCTAGTGAAACTGGGGCGGTGGGGTAGTCACTAGTCACGCCTAAGACCCGGGTTCGATTCCCCACATGGGTACAATGTGAAAAGTCCATTTCTGGTGTCCCCCGCCGTGATATTGTTGGAATATTGCTAAATGCGGCGTAAAACTAAACTCACTCACCCCAGTGAAACTTAATTCAACATAGATAAATGCCATTACACTCCAGTGAAATACTGATTTCTAAGTTTCAAAGGTATACATCTTAAAACCAATAAATATATGTTAGGCCACAAACATGATTTCACATTTCCTTACAATGATGATAAGAAAAAACCCAATTCGTTGGAAACAGACTGAGCATGTCCAATCAGCAAGAAATTCAAGTTATCTTTGCCACTTTAGGGACGTTTACTTCAGTGCGGTGTTTTTGTATGTCTCGTGTTCTGCCTGAGTCAACTTCACTTGAATATCTACATAAATAATCACACGTAAGTATAAGTACAAAATAACTTATAGAAGCTTGATCTAAGTCGCCAGGCTAGTGATCCAGCGAGCTTGAGGTGCCGGGACAAGCTTGTGTGCAGACACTTTCAGTGTTGTCACAACCCCTAGTGTACAGTACAAAGCCCTGCGCACTTAAAAGAACCCACGAATCCGTTGGTAAATGACCAAATGGTGGCCACATGAATACGCGCGAACGCCCAGTTGCGGGTACAGCAACGTGCAAAGAAGTTGGACTATGTGTCCCAGTAAACTTGGACTATGTGTCCCAGTCCACCCAGCTGTGAATGGGTACCTCGTAAGGATGGGAAAGCCACACGAACTTGGTGCGCCTCGTGCCCCAGTGCCGTTGAGATTGATATCCAATGATCGAGGGAAAACAAAGCGCCTTTGAGCAGCTGAGCTGGATATGGGCGCTATACAAATATTAGTATGATGATGATTATACCAGACCCATGAGTTAGTGAGTGATAATTAGTTTTACGCCACTTTTAGCAGTATTCCAAGAATATCACGGCGGGGTACACCAGATATGGGCTTCACATATAATACCCATGTGGGCAATCGAACCCGGCTTATCGGCGTCACGAGCGAACACTTTAACCACTAAGCTACCCGACCGCACCCGCCAGCAGCATGAGTCATGAGCCAGTCAACAGCCTGGTATTAAAGGTAGCTAATGGTCAACTTGTCTCTGATGCATCATTGGTGATGAGTTGCGGTATGCTGCAGTTAAAGTCATAAAGCTTGGCCATTAACCGGGGCACGACTCTGGTACCGGGTGGTCATGCTGCTTGACCAATTCTCTCAAGCTGCCGCCAAGCCATTGTTGTTCGACTACTATCATGTAGATGTACTAACATCCTTAACAAAAGGTCAAGTGAAATACACAATGCCATTTAGAAAGTGGTCAAATGTAACATATGTTTTATTTGGGATTACACTTTCTTTGTAAAGTACAGATTCTTGTACTTTTGTTGGATTGAGTCCCATCCGGGATTCGGTGTGGGTTCGAATCCCGGATGGGACTCAATCCAACAAAAGTACTAGAATCTGTACTTTACAAATAAAGTGTAGTCCCAAATATAACATGTTATAAAAGGTCAAGTGGACTCTCAGATGCAGAAGGGCAATCCCCAACCGAAAGCATAGCCTGACATTCTACTAAAGCTAGGGGGTATTCCCGTGAAGTAGAATTCTGTTAATACATCCTTGATGTTGTGCCGGTGTTGTTTTAAGGGATTAAGTCACTGGGTGCTGTAAAATTCTGAACTATGTTGTGGAATATGATTTGAATTTACTGAGTTTAGCTCACTGAAATTATAATGATACTGATTAATGTGTTCACTCATTCAGTGTAATACAGTACGCTTACATTTCCTACATATTGTATAAGTACAATCAAGTTACAATGGCTAGTATCATTTTCATAATGTCTCATGCACAGTTAAGAGAGTTCGATTACAAGTTACATGTATAGAGTAAACAAGAGGAAAGCAGAGGGATGGATGTTCTGGCGATGCATCTCTAGAAAATTGAAACTGCTACAATGTCAACCATCAATGCTGTTGTATCAAATTACCCTAGCAAACACGTATTCTGTTGTGTAGACGGCAATTCACAGATCAATGCTACGCAAAAGAAGATAAAAACCGTGATGTTTTTATTTCATTTCAGTTATGTCATCAAAAGAAGCATGGTGATTTCATTTTACTTCCGGGAGATGGGGTAGCCTAGTGGTTAAAGCGTTCGCTCGTCACGCTGAAGACCCGGGTTCGATTCCCCACATGGGCACAATGTGTGGAGCCCATTTATGGTGTCACCTGCCGTGATATTGCTGGAATATTGCTAAAAGCGGCGTAAAACCACACTCACTCGTTTTACTGTAATTATCTGTCATCAAAAGAAATATTTGACTGTTCCATTTTGCTGTTGTTGTCTGTTGTCAAAAGACGTCAAAGAACAAACAATGTCACGACACTATAGTAATATGAAAACAATAGTTCATTGCAAAATGTTCATCGCCAGTTTTTGAGTATTATATACATGATACATATAGCTGAAATTACAGAGGCTGAATAAACGCCAACCATCTTCTATTTCTAATGAGGACCATCAACCGGACACTCCACAATATGGCATTCAGCGCGCCTGTTGACGATCTACACAGTTGCATTCGCCTTTGCTTGGGAAGCCCGTATTATGTACTGATAACATTTACATCAACTACGAATTATTTTTGTTACTGTTCCATAATCACCTTGACATTTGGCCCGTAGTCATCTTTCAGGAGTGAAACCTTTTGATGAAATGTAACTTTCCCCCAGCTGTGTCAATGGTTTGTTTGAATCGAGCTTCCGACTTGCGTTGGATCATTCGTGACCCAATGGTGTTATGCCGGGACAAGCCGAATACCATTCGTCACCACTCGTCCCGTAGCCGTACCGCTATTTAGCTTGTGCCGGAATAACACGAGTTGGTCACAAATGGCCGAATACATTTGTAACTACTCGCCTCTTATCTACCTGCCGGAATGACACGAGTAGTTACGAATAGGCCGTATAACGAGGTCACTGAAACGGGCTATTTGGGACGAATGGCGCTCAACAAGCCTCCGGGAACCCATGGGCAAGCGACAGCCTCCGACTGTTTCCGAATGAACGAAGTTGCACCTGTGTAAAGGCGATACTTTTTCGACACAGAATGAAGATGAGTTCTATCCTGAATACCATATCAACATTCTCTAACACAACACAAACACATCTCTCACCACATCTATAGTTCTTGTCTAATGCTTAGTCTCTGAATATGTATAATTTTGATAGTAACAAACAACCCCATTTAAATTGAAAAGGAGCCCCAGGGAGACCAGAGATCCTGAACCTGAGGAAATCGAGACTTGCTTTATTTAGGGCTTAAGCAGTGCAGAAAGGTCTTGGCAGTAGGGAAAATAATGCGGTTCATGGACTGTGAGACAGGCTACTATAGTTCCTATCTTTGTTTTGTTTTTGTTTGTTGTGCAACACATGGAGTCTGTACTAACATGCTGTTGTGTCAGAAAGACGTCAATAATAATGTGGCTAAACTCAAAACAAAACTTACCATATGAAAGCATTTATGATGTTTGATGTGACGGAGATTTGTCTAAATTTATACAGCAAATAATATCGCTGGTTTCCCTCGGGTCATTTACTCTGCGTCGTGAAAAGTCAGTCATCCGTGTGACCTCTGGCCGTCAAGCTTGGTTACCCAAGCGAGATGTACGTTATTTTGAATGGTACCTTTTGAATTACCACGCCGAGACGTTACTGTCTGACTAGCTCGACGGGCTGACGTGCAGAATTCTACCGAACTGATCCATTATTAGAAATAGGTATCAGCTTGAGGATTAGCTGTGCACTCAACCAGAAATTGTGTTGTTTTAGGATGTCTAAGATATGGCGGTCTAAGTTTTGGGAGGTTACCATCAGGGAATATCATGCGAGCACACAACAAAGCTGTCAACAAACTCAGACAAAAGCGTGCTAGATATGCTCCATACATACCCGGCCAGTAGGTCTTTACGGAGATCATCTACGTTCGCCTGCCAGTGCAGCTTGTCCCAATGTTGATCATGACTCTGTTTTGTTGTTATTGAGTGTAATGGTGTTATGTAGGAGAGAGGGTTATGTAGAGTGAGTTATAAGGCAGCGTAGAGTATCAGTCATATAAGGTAGTGTAAGTATGACAGAAAGTGTATTCTGTAAGTGTCACGTGATGTTACGAGCGTTAATGAGTGTGGGATGTACAACATTCGTTGGGAAAAACTAACAATAGATGTGTTAACTTAGAGGCATAAGAGATGGTCGATACATTAGTAGAGGAATTACTAAAAATACACGTTATAAAACAAGTTTCAAAGTAAACTTAAAGCAGATAGAAATATACAACTGCCTTTTTATCCCCCTCCCTATATGTTTGTATGTTTTTTCACGTCAGATGCGCCGTATATTTCTGTACAGCGGTACATGAAAGTGTCGAAAATTTCGCCGGAAAACGGGTTTCAACAGCTGGGCTGCGCTCAGTGAAATAGGTTCGCGCAACTTGGAAGCGGGCTGTCTGGTGAATACTCGGTGAAGGCTTTGGTGTGAGCTATTTTCATAATGTTTTGTTTATAGCTCACAGGTGCGAGCTTTTTATATGTTATGACAGTAAATAAACTGTTTATATTATTTCATTTGTCTATTTCACCACACGTTCTTCTTACCGAGTCACTTTCTCAGTTCGATACCTAAAAGCAATGTCATTATTTAGCGTTGACACAATTTCTAACTGTGATATAGATATGTCGTTGTCACAGACAAAACTCAATGTCTTGTTTTATTGACACCTGTGTGTCTGCCTGCCTGTCTTCTAATGACAATATTCAATACACAGCTGCTATCACTGACCACATGCAATTTGAACGTAACACCAATCAGGCTATACACCATAAACAAAATGCATTGATTTATGGCCCGAGTTCGGTCTCTGTCACATTATGTAATTACACAGACAGGCAGGTGTGATACTTGAACACATGACAAGTTATGACGTCTGTTGATTGCAAAATGTTATACACAAAAAATGAGCATGTATTTACAAAACCAAACATCTCTATATATACACACACAATGAGCCGCGGGGGCGGCATCTGCAAATGAACCAACCGCTACACTTGAGTGCACACCCACCCGCTCTGACTGGGGTCGGTATCCCGGCTGCTTCGTTCCTTGGGAGGTAAACCCAAGTACAAAATATTGCACTTTTGATTTGCGTTTATACGCTTATAATTTTGTTTATTTGTTTTTTCATAATCAGCAATGCATATTATATGTCATGAAGAAGTGATAATTGTGTTTTAATTGTGTTTGATTTTTTGGTTGCATGTGACCTTAAGTGAAATTACCTGTTTTTCAAAACATACTATTTCATAATAGACTTGATGCAAAACCTCGTATTTTTCATCCAGACCTAACGCTTGGGAATTGAGATGCCAAACATGTTTGGTTTCACTGCAAATATTGATGCAAAGTTATGATTGAAAACTCATTGTGTTAAGTTTGCACATAAACAAATGAAACATTTTTTCCGATTATCTCAAAACATTATAAAAGTCAGATACGAGGTTTGGACAGGACTGCGACGAATTATGCTCTTGCGGGTATCTTTACCAGGATATGGGTGACTTGGGGCATAACAACACCCCGACCACCGCGCAGCAAACTGCCTTCAATGCTACAGTACGCGAGTTGATCGTGACCACCAACTTGGAAATATTGTTGTAAAACGTTTTGAAACAACCCCTTTCTGAAACCGGTACGCATGCGCAGAATACACATTTCCACGCATTTGCGACCAACTCGTGTTATTCCGGGACAAGACGAATCTTCTTGGAGGTTACGGAAAGGGGCGTGTGGTGACGAATGACTTTCACGATGGTGGTGCAATCTCTCGGCTCAACTCGGTTTCTTCCGCTATCGGTGACGGTCTAAATATAGACCACCAGGTAAATTGAGAGCCGTGGTGTAATAACACGATAACAATATAAAACGCTGTGACACTTGTGTCTGTCAGGTATCGACCGTGTAAAAGGCACAAGGTAAGTTCTATTCCACACTAATATCAGTGCGCTAGTTTGTATAAAGTTACTGTCAACGTTTGGCAACCAGCAACGCGACAAGGAAATAGGATTACTAACAGTATGGCTATTCGAGTAGTATCACAGAAGGGACACGATAGATGGACTTAAGATACTGAAATCGTGTATATAGTGTAACGTGTGATGTATGTAGGCTGCGCAGCTGCTTAACCAGATGATTTATTATCTGAATTCTGATTTAAAGAATTTAAACAGTCTGAAGCATAAATGGTTACTTCAAGTGTTCTATGGCCATTTGCTAATTCATTCATGCATTCATTTCTCTTGGGTAATAATTGACAGGAGTAATCTCTAATGAGGCAGACAGATCCTTCTCCCATTCCACGTCCCCCTCGACATAGACATGCGTGTTTCTATTACTTCAGTAACTGAGCAAATAAGGCGGAAGAGAATTTATTCAGGGAAAAGTGTTTGTTTCCTCCATTAGACTTTATTCTTCTCATAATGTATAAAGGTTTTTTTTTTCAAACGCGCACGATTCCTGGCATTCGATTTCGTCAAAGGGTTCAAGGCACAATTCGATAACAGTAGCTATTTCATGGCTCTGGCAAATATCCCAAGACTATGCGTTCGTTTCTTGGTCTAAAAAACAAACAAATAAACATTTTCTTCCTAATATGACGATCGTGGTGCGTCGGGACACAAACAGATGGTATATTTTTAGCGTATATACGTTGTCAAGCGATTTCGAGAGGAGTATCGTTCTGTTTACCTGCGTGTGTATGTGTGTGCTTAGCACATTGCTTGACAAATATTTACAGATACTAATTCATACAAATCTGGAATGATGAGGATGAAGACGTAAACGAAACGAGTTACTTCCCTTTACCCGATAAACATCGGTTCATATCATGTCAAAGGTTACCTATGAGATATGCAAGTTACCTACGATGTGTTCCAATTGATTTCTATTATCAGGATACTAATAATGATAGCTAATTCATAAGCTACCTTTCTAATGTAAGCTGTAATAATTAATTTATATATTAATCGTTAGTAATAGCAGGTGAGTGAGTGTGTTCAAGCAATATCACAGCGGGGAACACTAGAAATGGGCTTCACTCAGTGTACCCATGTCGGGAATCGAACCGTCGTCTTCAGCGTGACGAGCGGACGCTTTAACCATTAGGCTACCCCACCGTCCCACTTCTGGGCCACCAGTGGTAAAAACAGGAATCCGTGACGTTCGACGGCATCCTAATAATAAATTGAATAAATTTTTCAGACCTTCACCATGTTTTCCGAGAGCAACAGGAAAGATCTTGAGACCAAGGGCTACGCTGTCATTCAGGATGTTCTGACAACCGAACAGGCCGACAAATACAGAGGCATGTACGATGATTGGTTGAATGGGTTTGAAGGGGCGTGGCCTCCGACCACTAAATCCCTGATACAGAAATTCAAAGTCGGTCATATGGAGCCAACATGGGCAGTGCGCATGAAAGCAAAACCAGTCTTCGCCCAAATATGGGGAACTGAGAAGTTATTGACAAGTTTTGATGGAATCGCTATCGGGCGTCCTCCAGAAGATGGGGAGGAGGATTTCTACATTCCAAGTCAGGACTGGCTCCACGTAGACCAGGACTCTTCGAGGATGGGGCTCCATGGATACCAAGGAGCTGTGTACCTTGAGCACTGTGCGCAGGATGACTGGACATTTGAGGTCATTGAAGGGTCTCATCATTTCTTTGATAGATATTATGAAGAATGTGACTATGCCGTCGAACAACGTAAAGCAAATCCAACATGGCGTGTCCGAAACTTCCGGTCTGATGACGTCGAGTGGTTTAAAGAACGTTGTAACTGTCTTCGAAAACGAATTCCGGTTCCGAAGGGGGGAATGGTAGTGTGGGATTCCAGGCTTATCCATGCAAATACTCGGCCCTTAATTCGTCGAAAGAATCCCGGTAGATGGCGCTTTGTGGTGTTTGTTTGCATGGCGCCCGCAGTATGGGCAGACGAAGTGTCGCTTCAAAAGAAGCAGAGAGCTTACAAGGAAATGCTGCTCACAAAACACTGGCCATGCAATGGTATCAGCTACTTCAGAGAAAGAGCCCCAAGACTAAGAGAGATGAGCATCAAAATTGTATCTGAGCTGCCACCATCCGCAACTACTGTAGAAGCTCAGCAATTGGCTGGAGTTCTACCTTATGAGCCTTCTGATGAGGACGAGGAATTCCTGAGCAGAATGCCAAAATGGCGTCCTTTCGCGGGTGCGGAAACTTCCGATTCAAAGTGACTGGGTTGAATTTTACCCAAACTTTCATTTATTCTTTCTCTGCACACGTGTCGGTCAGAGGCCCGTGGTAAATGTCGGTAATTATGCAGTTTTATAACATAAGGGTACAAAAGTAAGCCTGTTCACATAGATCATTGTCTTTCATAATTACTGTAAAAAAGGTGCATCGGACAATTTACACCGCGACATTTCTTGTAATGTAATACTTTTTCAAGGCCATATTTTATTATAAAGCATAATGGATTTTTGGAGGGTATGATAGGCATGATATGTTGAAGGTATATAACGTTTATCATACATCTTACGCACTCAAGTATGATACATTCGTTCTCAATGTAACCTGTGTAAATCGTGGCAAAATTTTTGCTCTCTTGGCGGTTTATACTACATGTATCTTCCCATTTCCCGTATGAGATCAACAGCGATACTGAGCTGACACACATGAAAAAATATCTATTGCCGTAAGAGAGAGACATGAAGCTCTGCAGTTTACCCGTTTCATCAATACAGTGGACATTGCATGGTGGGGGATACCAAGAATTGACTTTGTGTCCATCAAGGTAAAAGAAACGTTGACCTTCAGGTTGAGGCTACAACTATGTTATACCGTTACGGGTGTTAAAGTATGTGATTCATCATCATCCATCTGTTAACAGTATGTATGATCTACTTTGGTTCGGTATGAGTCCTTACAGGGGACGGGGCGGTGGGGTAGTTTAGTGGTTAAAGCGTTGGCTCGTCGCGCCAAAGACCCGGGTTCGAATCCCCACATGGGTACAATGAGTGAAGCCCATTTCTGGTGTCCCCCGCCGTGATATTGCTGGAATATTGCTAAAAGCGGCGTAAAACCAAACTCAGTCAGTCACTAGTCAGCCTTACAGGGGACGGATACTTATTTCAAGGTCCAAACAAGTGCAATAAGAGTACACCTATCAACTGTGAAAAAATATTGCATAGGAAATCCATAGGAATGTACATTATACATCTTATGCCATGGAAATAATATAAAAGAATTGTTTAATGTTTTAGGTATTTATTGTTGTTATTATCATCAAGTTGTTAATGTGCCAGACAAGAAGGGAAAGTATACTCTTGAAATTTAGAGCTGACCGAAACGTCAGTGAAACAAAATGAAGATTAATACACAGAAAACACAACCCGACATACTGTAAACGTAAGGTCTAAAACGCAGTCATAATTCCCGAATTTAAAACATCACACTGAAATAACCATTTCTTGTCAGTTAAATGTTTCCTTTCGCCGGCAAGTGTTTGGGGGAGAGGATTATTTTTTTGCTCAAGATTAGCCCAGACAGATATTCGTTCAATCAATTGTCTCACAGGTGATTTAACACCACTCAAATCTTGCTTATGATTACCCAAGTAACGTACAGTCCGTTGTTTGGCTGGTGCATTGTTTTACACTGCAGTCAGCAATATCCCAGCTGTATGGCGGCGGTCTGTAAATATTAATCAATAATCGATCAATCCAGTGATCAACATCATGAGCATCGATCTACGCAATTGGGATGCGATGACGTGTCAACCAAGTCAGCGAGCCTGAGCAATTGATCCCGTTAGTCGCCTCTTACAACAAGCATGGGTTACTGAAGATAAATTCTAACCAGGTTCTGCAAGGGTCAGAATGACACTAAACTGGATTTGTTGGTCAGGTCTAGATACGTGGTAATTATGTCATCATACTACAAAGGCTTTGGAAGTGGCATGCATTTACTTCTGGTGTGCTTGGTCTGGAGTTCATTAATTTCTATGTTGATATTGCTAGGTGAATGCTGACCACTGTGAAGAGCAACAAGTAAGTGAGTGAGGTTAGTTTTACGCCACGTTTCGCAATATTCCAGCAATATCACCGCGTGGGACACCAAAAATGGCCTTCACACATTGGGATACAATGACATATGTCACCCAATCAGTGAGCTTGACCATCCGATCCCGTTAGTCGCCTATTACGACAAACATTGTTTGCTGAAGACCAATTCTTGTCCGGGCCTTCACGGGTAGTAACATATAGGCCCTTGTTGAGGTTTACAACGATAATGGGTAATATATCATGGCTGTGAAAACTTCAATATGTCAGCGCGAGAGAATAACCAGTCGGGACTATATTTTTCGGGGGCGTAAAAAGGGAAAAAACCTGTGAGAGTAATATGAATGGATAATTGAAAGACGTGACACAAGGTACCAGCGAAAAGGCGCCTGCCGCTAGGGTTGGCTAATTGGTCGATAATCGGAAATACCGTCGATAGGAAACATCACTGAACATTATCTATATGAAAATTGTGCTATCGATAATATATAATACGGTTATCTCCCAATTGACAGACACCAATTTGACAGACAGTGAACTAGAAGGTTAAATAGGGTAACACCTACGGGTATAATGGAACAGTCCACTGTCTAGTGGGAAGAGTTGAGTGAGCCTGAAACAGGTTCGTTACTGAGAAGTTTGATTGTGGGTAAAAAGAACTTTGTTGTGATAATGAAGCTATGAAAAGCATTCTCACATCCATGGCCACATTGACATGATGCATCATTTCTTTATATTTATTTAAAATAAATCATTATAAAGTGTACTCGTCAAATATCTTAATCTTGTGTGCAAAACATTGAACTTATTCCTTATTCCATATAAATAATAACTAGGTACACATTTTTCTTTCAAGTGGATATAAGATTTAAATGAAGCAACAGAGTCGCAATTTTCTTGTGTTTTTATTCTGATTAGTCCATTATAATGTGTAGGTAACAGGTAGAAGCTAATCTGTTCATTGAACACTGCAAATGTTGTTGTTTTAAGGCGTCTGCGAACTGCCTGTTTGCGTAATGGGAGTGCCCCTATCGTACATTAACTTTTATGATAGAAAAAAGTTTTATTTTTTTCTCACAATATACAAATTTAGGACTTTATTCATGGTCTGATTCTACATTATGTTTAAAACGCTGTTTTGTTAACATTCAGCCATACAAATGTCACAACCCACCAGTGATGTGAAACACATGTACATTCATTTCTTTCGATATCCTAGGCATTTCTGCTCTAAGTTACGTCTCCGATATTTATCGACCATCGATCGATATTCAGTTAACGGTTATCGATCTCTGTGATCTATATCTATAGCCAGCCTTACCTGCCAGACAATGTGCATAGATAAGCATGTTGTCCGCCGCCATCTGATGGCATGTGACAAAACACACAAAGATACCTGCGGCGTTATTTGACCAGGGATGGGTATGGTAGGGCAAATGCAGGGTTGAGTGAGATTCGTTGAGGAAGGGTAGGGTTTTATTTTATTTGTGTCATGTCTAGTACAATTAGTAGGGATAAGAGTATTAGATGACAATATATCACGTATATCGGATTACGTCCATCTTTCAGAACGCAGGGTGTACTTAGAACCATATCGATATCGTGCTCGTGATATCTAATCGCTGGATCAAAGGTCAACATGTTGTTGTCATCCAACTTTAACTCAACCGGTGTATATTACGGTGACAAACCAGACTTACTAAAATACTTTAACAGACAGACTAATAGATGAATGAATGAATGAATGGAGGATGTATGGATGAATGAATGAATAGAGAGATATACAGATATGAACGAATGAATGAATGAATAAAAAATAAGATGAAGGTTAGAATGAATCTTTCGTCATGTTCAACATTTTTTCCACGTGTATTTCTCATAATGTTTGCATTGTTTATATGGTTTTTTTGTAAGGCCATCATTACCAATGACGACTTAAAGAGGCGACATGTCCAGTTATCTGTACATTCCCATTGCTCACATTTCGGTACACCTTAAACACACTGATATATGCGGATAATGTCCGTCTTGCGCAGAGGAAATTAAGCAAACAAATGCCTGACCTTTGAGGTCAGGGAAAGTATCAAAAGGATTGCAGAAAATTGCAACATATAAGACTACTGACTTCAATACGGTATATAGATAAATATATAAGTTGTATTATTTGAATGTGGGTATTTTTTCATATTTAAAATGATTTCATGTATTGAAATCCATTCGCTTGTCATTCCATGGGTCAAGACTGTGTTGAGTGAGCGAGTATGGTTTTACGTCGCTTTTAGTAATATTCCAACAACACCACGGCGGGGGACACCAGAAGTCGACTTCACACATTGTACCCATCGAACCCTTGTCATCGGCGCGACGAGCCAACGCTTTAACAGCTTGGCTAACCCCAAATAGGTGCTAGAATCTGTACTTCAGTGATCATATGCTATATTTCCCAGCTTTGAGAAGAGATTCTACTACTAGTCTGGGGCCGAGTCAACCCCCCAAAATACTGGAATCTGTACTTTACTGAGTGTATGATTGTGCTGTCACAAGCGACAGTGAAACCTTTTTTATGTATTTTCCTCTTAGGACCGTAACCTGTATGTCAAACCAGTGCCGATACAGCGAGACATTCCAGTTCCGTCACTGTCCATTTCCTTTCACTTCCATTTAAGGATCTACCACCATAGGAAATCACATGCTCATTTCCTTTGGCATTAAGCTGTCCTAGAATATAGCCTAAACTGGCCCCGCTTGCATCTGTGGTTAATATGAATGGTTTTGTTACATCTGGGTACACAAGAACAGGTGCAGATGTAAGGGCAATTTTGAGTTTATCAAAGCATGTTGACAATTTTCATCCCAATTGAACTCCATCTCTTTCCTCAGCAACTGGTTAAGAGGTGCAGCAATTTGTGAAAACCCTTGAACAAATTTCCTGTAGTAGTTGGCAAGGCCAATGAACTGTCGTACCTCTTGTTGATTTCTTGGCGTTGGCATGCTCTTCACTGCTTCTATTTTGTTTTTGTCCCCTTCAATGCCATCCTTACTGAAGAAGTGACCAAGATAGGTAACTTTCTTTTCAGCAAACTTGCATTTACTCGGCTTTAGTGTAAGTCCTGCCTGCCGGAGTTTCTGGAACACCTGTTGAAGGTGCTTCAGATGTTCACCGAAATTCCTGGAATAGATGATTATGTCATCGACATATACTAGTGCATGTCTCCAGTTCATCTCTCTCAGAACTTCTGTCATCAACATTTGAAAGGACATGGGTGCATTGGTCAACCCAAAAAGGCATTCGATTCCAGTGGAAGACTCCCTCTGGTGTAATAAATGCTGACTTGTGTTTTGTGTCGGGGTCCATGGGTATTTGCCAAAATCCGCTGGCACAGTCCAAAACGGAGAAAATTCGAGCTTGAGATTCTCCAATAGTGTCCACCACATCTTCAAAACGAGGTAGAGGAAAGAATTCCGGCTGGGTGACACTGTTCAATTTTCTGAAATCTACGGCAAATCGATATTCGCCCGATTTCTTCTTGACCATGACGACAGGACTTCTCCAATCTGAGCGACTGGGCTCAATGATACCTGCATCAAGCATGTCCCGTACCTGTCTGACACATTCCTTTCGAATTACTGGATTCTGTCTATAAAACGGGAGTCGAATGGGTTTCGCATCACCAGTGTCTATCTTGTGGTGGTACAAGCTGGTTTTGCCAAGTTCTTGTCAGTTTTCAGTAAAGACATCTCTGTTGTCTTGAAGAAAATTGTTTAGTTGGTTCCTTTGTTGAGGTGAAAGATCAGAAGAAGAAAGGTCAAAGTCAATATTTCTGGCAGATTTACCTTGATTGGTGAGAGTTCTGGAGATAGACATAATGCCTATTTGCTCATCTGCCTCATGCAAAGTTTGAATGGAATTGATGTCCACTTCACTAACTGTAGCAAGAACTGTACAAGCTGATATGCTAATGTTGCTGTTAGTTGGGTTTAATAAACGAAATGTGGTTTTACCTTGGCGTCGTAGTACCTTGCAGCTTGTGCGTCGTGAGATTTGGGGTGGGTTCCAGTAAGAGCACTGAGCCATCTATGTTCCGTGAAATTCTAACTGGAACGTTCATTTGTCTTCTGGGCGGTATGGTGAATGGTTTGTATGCACGAGCTAAACCTGTATTAGCTTGTACAAGTGAAACAACGGTTAAACCGTCATGAATAGAAACGGTTCGAGAGCCAAGGTCTACTGAAACTTTGTTGTGTTCAAGAAAGTCCATTACTAAGATAAGGGAATGGTGCAACTTTGCAAAGACGTTAAAACAGTGTGAGAGTTTTAAATGACCTATTGAAAATGACAGTTGTATCGTGCCTAAAATGTGTTGTTTCTCGCCTCAAAATCCAACCACTTCATGAATGGGGGATTTGCCTAATTTTTCATCACCTAATCCTATTTTGTTCAGAAGTTTTTGACTAATACAGCTGATTGATGCGCCTTTGTCTATGAGTGCATTTGATCTTTTGTCTGCAAAATGTACTAGTATGGTGTTCTTATGTAATGGTGCAATCAGGGATATGCTTTTTTGAGTATGCCTGACATTTGCACGTGACAAAGTGTCAGGCGAGAATCCCTAGGCAGTGTGGGAGGGGTTGCTTTGGGGAGGGTTATGGGGATTTCTGCTTGTCATGACATTTGGCGTAATGAACTGAGCTTTTTTAGCTTTCCTAATATGGGAAACTTCTTATTGTAAAAGTATTAAATCTGTACAGCTTGATTGTTGTAAAAAGTATCTTTAAATAAATAGGTCATATTGTAATTCTATGGGCCTGACTGAATGTGGCAGGTTGTCCCTTCAGCTTAATTCTGGCTTGAGATGCTAAACACAAGTGTGCTCTGGACCAAACAAGTTTTGGTGAAACTATAATGCCTTATATTTAAAAAAAGACAGTTTCCAATTATTCCCCATTAAAATACCACTTTTCATAAAATCTAGGCCCTCAATTTCTAAATATAACAGCTTTAGTTTTCTTAAGATTTACTTCCATTCCTGTTTCTTTACAAAATAATTCAAGGGCAGTCATCCTTTTTCTGCACTTGAATACACATCTCTGAAAGAGCCGAAACATCATTAGCAAACATAAGGTCATACACATTATTAAATACAGTGGAAATAGACATTCCCTTACCACCTTCATGTTGCATAATTGTACATAAATTCTTAATAAATATTATAAATATGTGTGGGCTAAAAATGTCACAGGCACAAAGTGAATTATACATACAATTAAAAAACTTCCCATCTAACCCAGGCTTACCGGTTTCATAAAGAGGTTGCGTAAGAGTTTTGTACTGTAGTACAATATTTGCATGACGTCATATTGTAATGACGTCACTGCCTTGGCAACCGATGTCACGATTCATGTCAGTTGTCATCGCCTCGTACAGCCTCCTATATACTCCGTAGCACCCCGTTTCTTGGTTTGGAGTTGCTACATTCGGCTAACATCACTGGTGGAAACATTGCGTTTACGTTTTTCGACGGATATAATGTCTCAGTTCGACTCACAATTAAACAGCGACACGGCAACGTTCGCGATGTTTACATTCCCACAATGCATTTAAGTTGTAGAATGAATGAATTCACGTGTTTGTTAAGAATGAAAAAAATAGTTACGTCAGAATGTGACCTAATTGAGAGGTCATCGGTTATCCAATCAAATCGTTAGTATTTCAGGTCAAGTCGTTACGACACAGGTCAACGCGATACGACACTCGTGTGACGTACGAGATTAGTATGCCATACGTTGACCACGTGGGTAATAAATGTACATCCCATACCAGAGACCATATAATTATATGGTCTCTGCCAACACTCATTAACGCTCGTAACATCGACACTTACAGAATACACTGTGTCTGTCATACTTACACTACCTTATATGACTCTACTCTACGCTGCCTCACTCTACACAACCCTTTCTCCTACGTACACCTTTACACTCAACAACAACAAAACACAGTCATGATCAACTCTCCGTAAAGACCTACTGGTCGGGTTTGGAGCTTGTCTAGCACGCTTTTGTCTGAGTTTCTAGACAGCTTTGCTGTGTGCTCGCATGATATTCCCTGATGGTAACCTCCCAAAACTTAGACCGCCATATCTTAGACAGCCTAAAACAACACCATTTCTGGTTCAGTGTACAACTAATCCTCAAGCTGATACCTACTAGTATTTCTTATAATGGATCAGTCAAATAGTAGAATCAAGTAGACAAGTGGTCATTCAAAAGGTACCATTCAAAATAACGTACATCTCGCTTGGGCAACCAAGCTTGACGGCCAGAGAAGGTCACACGGATGACTGACTTTTCACGACGCAGCTAAATGACCGAGGGAAACCAGCGATATTATTTGCTGTTTAAATTCAGACAAATCTCCGTCACATCAAACATCAAAAATGATTTCATATGGTAAATTGTCTTTTGAATTTAGCCAATTATTCTTGACGTCTTTCTGACACAACAGCATGTTAGTACAGACTTTATGTGTTGCACAACAAACAAAAAACAAAACAAAGGTAGGAACTATACTAGCCTGTCTCACAGTCCATGAACCGCATGATTTTCCCTACTGCCAAGCCCTCTCAGCAGTGCTAAAGCCCTAAATAAAGCAAGTCTAGATTTCTTCAGCTTCAGGATCTCTGGTCTCCCTGGGGCTCCTTTTCAATTTAAATGGTCTTGTTTGTTACTATCAAAATTATACATATTCAGAGACTAAGCATTAGACAAGAACTATAGATGTGGTGAGAGATGTGTTTGTGTTGTGTTAGAGAATGTTGATATGGTATTCAGGATAGAACTCCTCTTCATTCTGTGTCGAAAAAGTATCGCCTTTACACAGGTGCAACTTCGTTCATTCGGAAACAGTCGGAGGCTGTCGCTTGCCCATGGGTTCCCGGAGGCTTGTTGAGCGCCATTCGTCCCAAATAACCCGTTTCAGTGACCTCGTTATACGGCCTATTCGTAACTACTCGTGTCATTCCGGCAGGTAGATAAGAGGCGAGTATTCGGCCATTTGTGACCAACTTGTGTTATTCCGGCACAAGCTGAATAGCGGTACGGCACGGGACGAGTGGTGACGAATGGTATTCGGATTGTCCCGGAATAACACGATTTGGTCACGAATGATTCAACGCAAGTCGGATGCTCGATTCGAAACAAACCACTGACACCGCTGGGGGAAAGTTACATTTCATCAAAGGTTTCACTCCTGAAATATGACTACGGGCCAAATATCAAGGTGATTATGGAACAGTTACAAAGATAATTCGTAGTTGATGTAAATGTTATCAGTACATAATAAGGGCTTTCCAAGCAAAGGCGAATGCAACTGTGCAGATCGTCAACAGGCGCGCTGAATGCCATATTGTGGAGTGGCCAGTTGATGGTCCTCATTAGAAATAGAAGATGGTTGGCGTTTATTCAGCCTCTGTAGTTTCAGCTATATGTATCATGTATATAATACTCACAAACTGGCGATGAACATTTTTCAAGGAACTATTGTTTTCATATTACTATAGTGTCGTGACATTGTTTGTTCTTTGACGTCTTTTGACAACAGACAACAACAGCAAAATAGAACAATCAAATATTTCTTTTGATGACAGATAACTGAAGTGAATTGAAATCATTAGGTATTTCATTTCATGACAGAATTGATATGTGAATTGTCGTCTACACAACAGAATACGTGTTTTCTAATGTAATTTGATACAACAGCATCGATGGTTGACATTGTAGCAGTTTCAATTTTCTAGAGATGCATCGCCAGAACATCCATTCCTCTGCTTTCCTCTTGTTTACTCTGTACATGTAACTTGTAATCGAACTTGGAATCGTGCATGAGCCATAATGAAAATGATACTAGTCATTGTAACTTGATGGTATTTATATAACATGTAGGACATGTAAGCGTACTGTATTGCACTGAATGGGTGGACACATTAATCAGTATCGTTATAATTTCAGTGAGCCAAACTCAGTAAATTCAAATCATATTCCACAACATAGTTCAGAATTTTACAGCACCCAGTGACTTAATCCCTTAGAACAACAACACCAACATCAAGAATGTATTAACAGAATTCTACTTCACGGGAATACCCCCTAGCTTTAGTAGAATGTCAGGCTATGCTTTCGGTTGGGCATTGCCCCTCTGCATCCGAGGGTCAACTTGACCTTTTTGAAAGTGTAATCCCAAATAAAACATATGTTACATTTGACCACTTTCTAAATGGCATTGTGTATTTCACTTGACCTTTTGTTAATGATGTTAGTACATCTACATGATAGTAGTCGTACAACAATGGCTTGGCGGCAGCTTGAGAGAATTGGTCAAGCAGCATGACCACCCGGTACCAGAGTCGTGCCCCGGTTAATGGCCAAGCTTTATGACTTTAACTGCAGTATACCGCAACTCATCAGCAATGATGCATCAGAGACAAGTTGACCAATACCAGGCTGTTGACCGGCTCATGACTCAGGCTGCTGGCGGGGGCGGTCGGGTAGCTTAGTGGTTAAAGTGTTCGATCGTGACGCTGATAAGCCGGATTCGATTCCCCACATGGGTACAATGTGTGAAGCCCATATCTGGTGTACCCCGCCGTGATATTCTTTGAATACTGCTGAAAGTGGCGTAAAACTAATTATTATATAGGTAGTATTTTTCCTGTACCACGATTGGTCAAAATACCGTCACATGATTGACTACAAAACACGATATTGACTTGAGTTTTCTGATAAATTACGATATTGACTTGGGTTACTAAAAATAGACAAGGAATCCCGTACGAAGGGGCTTCCCCCGCTTTTCAGCCAGTCAGATCACTCGGATAGATGGCACAGTGTGTGCATTAAAAGTTTATGTTAAAACCCGTTTCTCTTTCATTATATAATAAAACGATTATAGACTCTAGTAGAGGTCGATATCGGGGGTTTTTTGACCTGAGAAAAACAATATCGACCTCGCAAGCTTGGTCGATATTGTTTTTCTCAGGTCAATAAAAACCGACATCGACCTCTACAAGAGTCTATAATTGTATATTATCATCAAAAACTGTGTTCCACAGGAGATATCGCTTGTTTGAGATCAAACGATATCTCCTAGGAGATATCGTTTTGACAGTAGATTTTGTACAATGCCCTGACAATGCTATGACGTCATGTACTTGATGACGTCACAATGCTATGACATCGCTGCACTGCAAGTCTAATGGCAGTACCATGTTCAGAGATGTACATTTTTCATTGAAAATTAATGAAGAGTGATTTTGGATGATAAATAGAATCTCACCCTCGTGTCTTCTGACATCAAAAATATGTCAACACTCGTTGATAAAAGTAAAAATATCCCCGGCAAGCCTCGTATATTTGTAACTTTATCAACTCGTGTTGATATAATTGATATCAGAAGACACTTGGGTGAGATTCTCTATTTATCACTCACTAATTCATGGGGCTGGTATAATCATCATCATACTAATATTTGTAAGGCGCCGATATCCAGCTCAGCTGCTCAAAGGCGCTTTGTTTTCCCTCGATCCCTCGATCATTGGATATCGATCTCAACGGCACTGGGGCACGAGGCGCACCAAGTTAGTGTGGCTTTCCCATCCTTACAAGGTTCCCATTCACAGCTGGGTGGACTGGGACACATAGTCCAAGTTTACTGCTCGTTGATGTACCCGCAACTGGGCGTTCGCGCGTATTCATGTGGCCACCATCTGGTCATATACCAACGGCACCTCAATCTCGCTGGATCACTAGCCTGGCGACTTAGATCAAGCTGCTATAAGTTATTTTGTACTTACTTACGTGTGATTATTTAGGTAGATATTCCAGTGAAGTTGACTCAGGCAGAACACGAGACATACAAATACACCGCACTGAAGTAAACGTCCCTTTTTAAGTGGCAAAGATAACTTGAATTTCTTGCTGATTGGACATGCTCAGTCTGTTTCCATCGTATTGTTTTTTTCTTATCATCATTGTTAGGAAATGTGAAATCATGTTTGTGACCTAACATGTATTTATTAGTTTTAAGATATATACCTTTGAAACTTAGAAATCAGTATTTCACTGGAGTGTAATGACATTGATCTATGTTGAATTAAGTTTCACAGGGGTGAGTGAGTTTAGTTTTACGCCGCCTTTAGCAATATTCCAGCAATATCATGGCGGGGGACACCAGAAATGACCACCCCACCGCCCCAGTTTCACTAGAGGCTGCGAAATAAATTCATGTTCTATTTTCAAGTGTTGTCTCTATTTTCAGAATTATTAAGCAGCTTGGGTATGAGAGAATAATAAAGGCGACTAATTGTGGTAGAGTTATCGTTCCTGGACTCGCGTATACCAACTTCCATGGAAACGGTGAGTGATTCCGCGTTGTACTTGAGTGCGAGCGAGCGTGCGTGCGAGCGTACATACGCTTGCGAACATGTTATTATAGTCCATTTGTACCGCGCTATTTCCATTCACAGTAACTTCTCAAAGCGCACAGAATTAAAAACATAGTCACTTGAGCTGAAGCTAGTCATCTGGATATGACAGTCTAAAGAGATAAGTTTTGAGACTTCGTTTGAAGTCATGTAGATTTGAACAGTTTTTCAAACAATCAGGCAGTTCGTTCCATGTCTTTGCGGCAGCATACTTGAAGGTTCTCTTCCCGTAGCTGGACGTTCTCACTGGAGGGATCACGAGCAGTGACTTGTATTTGGATCGTTATATTCTCGCAGGGATGTATGGCTGAATCAGTTCAGTTATGTAGTGCCGCACTTGACCAGTTAGATCCTTGAAATCAAAGCAGAGAGTTTTGAACATTATTCTGTGCTGGATGGGTAGCCAGTGGAGCTGCTTAAGTACTAGAGTGATGTGTTCAGATGGTTTGGTCCGGGTTACGATTCTAGCAGCTGCATTTTGCACTCGTTGCAACTTCGACAGCTGAACTCTGGTGGCGCCCTCTAGGGGTGAGCTGCAATAGTCGAGTCTAGATGTTACCAGTGAGATGACGAGATGAGATGTGTGAATTCGTACACGCAGGCGCTGGCGGACGTGTTTGTATTACCCTGTATGTCTTCCATGGGTTATATGTGTGCGTGTGTATGTGCGTGTGTGTGTGTTTGTGTGGTTAACTGAGACAAAGAATACAGGGAATGTAATGTCAATTGTCCTTTCATATTCGCAGCATCTCCGCATCCATGGAGCGTGATGGACATCATAGATTCAACCCAGATTTGTCTCATACATCCAACAGACGGCGGGAAGTCGTTTCTCGGCCTTCACCAGCTTTTCGGTGAAACTGATGCGTTTGTAGTGACTGCAAAAATCGACTTAAGCGAGCAGCTTCATGACGAAGCTGTTGTGAAAGCCCCTCTGTGTACAGACACCACCGTCAGCAACGTCGGCAAAAGCACCATTGTCATGGACACAGTGATGACATCCGGTTCAGTTCCACTGGTCAAGTATCGAAGTAATTCAATAATACTCGACAAAAGCAGTAAAAAGCCTGTCGAGATTCCCCAGCAATGGAAGAGTACCTACGGGCACTTGTGCACAGGCGAGCCAATGAGATTCAGTGCTCTTGAGAGGCCATCTGACCAATCACGTGTAAGCAATGTGTTTGCAGGGCAAGTGTCTTACAGCGACATAGATGCAAACCATCATGTTCATTTTACCAATTATTTGAAATATTGCTGTGAAGGTTTAGTCAAAGGGCAGACAACCCAGTCTGGCTTAGGGTTACAACCGTTAAAACTTAAATCTGCTTTCATGTGGTACAGAAAAGAATGCAATTTTGGAGATGCCATTGAACTTGACTTTTGGGAACATGAAACTAAGCCAGGCGCCATATGTGTGGACATGTTGAAAAATGGGGAAAGCGTTTTTCAGTGTGTACTTGAGCTGTACGCTACAAGTCTTATTAACAGTTCACTGTGAAAAACAGGACTTAGATAATTTGAACAAAATCTTATAATACAGGATAAATACAGGTATGGTCTGGAATAGGTGGTCATGTTTCTAAACTTTACACCCAAATAGACAGGTTCGACTGATCTGACTGAGTGATTATGTACACTGCTTTCAGCAATATTCCAGCAATATCACGGCGGTGGACATCAGAAATGGGCTTCACACATTGTACCCATGTAGGGAATCGAACCTGGATCTTCGGCACCCCCATCCCCCACCCCACTGCCACAGGTGTAACAAATGGAATGATTGAATTAGTTATATGGCTGGAACTTTGCTGAAAGCGGCGTAAAACCCAACTCACTCACTCACTATGAGTGCTGAGAATTGCCTCCAGTTGTTTTACTGTGTGTTTGCAGTGTGGATTTGTAGGGGTGTGTTTGTTTCTCTAAAGTATGTTATGGAATAAATCTATCGTATTCGTGTATTTAGTTTCATAGATTTCTGTCCGACTTCTGCAAGAAAGTATTCAACCCAAAAGACCCTTTTCATATATTACTACACACTGGCTCACCACTATACACTTGGTCTCTAATACACATTTGAATACCATTTCATACTGGTCCTCTAGTACACCCTGGATTACAAATACATCCTGCGTAACTATTGTACACCTGGCTAGCTATTCTCGAAACGTTCGTAGCCCTACGAACTTCTTAAGCCCATTCTTAAAACATTGGCTACGATCAAAGTTAAGAATTCTTAGGGCTACGAACGTTTCGAGAATAAGGCCCCAGGTAAGTACATTCTGGACTACTAATACATACTGGGCCTTAAATATACACTTGGCTTCTAATACACACCAGGCCTTCAATACACACTGGACTATCAATACATTTGTAAATACCGGGCCTTAAATACAGGTTCGACCATTATCTTCACCGGGTATCTTTTTCAAACTTGACCTGAAATGCATTTGGCTCTTAATGCATACTAGACCATAATGTTCAACGGAAAATCTAATACACTCTGGAACTTAAAGACACTTGGCTTCTTATACACATTAGACCATAATGTTGCCGGACATCTAATACACTCTGGGCCTTAAAGACTCTTGGCTTCTTATACACATGAGACTATAACGTTACCGGACATCTAATACACTCTGGGTTCTAAAGACACTTGGCTTCTTATACACATGAGACTATAATGTTACCTGACATCCAATACACTCTGGGTCTTAAAGACGCTTGGCTTCTGATACACATGAGACTATAATGTTACAAGACATCTAATACACTGTGGGTTCTAAAGACACTTGGCTTCTTATACACATGAGACTATAATGTCACCGGACATCTAATACACTGTGGGCCTTAATGACACTTGGCTTCTTACACACATGAGACTATAATGTTACAAGACATCTAATACACTCTGGGTTCTAAAGACACTTGGCTTCTCATACACATGAGACTATAATGTCACCGGACATCTAATACACTGTGGGCCTTAAAGACTCTTGGCTTCTTATACACATGAGACTATAATGTTACCGGACATCTTATACACTCTGGCTCTTAAAGACGCTTGGCTTCTTATACACACGAGACTATAATGTTACCGGACATCTAATACACTCTGGGGCTTAAAAACGCTTGGCTTCTTATACACATGAGACTATAATGTTACCGGGCATCTAATACACTGTAGGTCTTAAAGACACTTGGCTTCTTATGCCCATGAGGCAATAATGTTACCGGACATCTAATGCACTCTGTGTCTTAAAGACCCTTGGCTTCTTATACACATGAGACTATAATGTTGCCGGACATCTAATACACTCTGGGTCCTAAAGACAGTTGGCTTCTTATACACATGACACTATAATGTTACAAGACATCTAATACACTGTGGTTCTTAAAGATACTTGGCTTCTTATACACATGAGACGATATTCTTTCCGGACATCTAATACACTGTGGGTCTTAAAGACACTTGGCTTCTTATACAAATGAGACTATAATGGTACCGGACATCTAATACACTGTGGGTCTTAAAGACACTTGACTTCTTATACACATGAGACTATAATGGGACCGGGCATCTAATACACTGTGGGTCTTCAAGACCCTTGGCTTCTTATACACATGAGACTATAATGTTGCCGGACATCTAATACACTGTGGGTCTTAAAGACTCTTGGTTTCTACACATGAGACTATAATGTTACAAGACATCTAATACACTCTGGGTCTTAAAGATACTTGACTTCTTATACACCTGAGACTATAATGTTGCCGGACTTCTAGTACTATCTGGGTCTTAAAGACACGTGGCTTCTCATACACATGAGACAATAATGTTACCGGACATCTAATACACTCTGGAACTTAAAGACACTTGGCTTCTTATACACATGAGACTATAATGTTTCCGGACATCTAATATACTCGGGGCCTTAAAGACACTTGGCTTCTCATACACATGAGACTATAATGTTACCGGACTTCTTATACACCTGAGACTATAATGTTACCGGACTTCTTATACACTCTGGAACTTAAAGACACTTGGCTTCTTAAAGACCCTTGGTTTCTTATACACATGAGACTATAATGTTTCCGGACATCTAATACACTCTGGGCCTTAAAGACACTTGGTTTCTTATACACATGAGACTATAATGTTTCCGGACATCTAATACACTCTGGGCCTTAAAGACACTTGGCTTCTTATACACATGAGACTATAATGTAAGCGGACATCTAACACACTCTGGGTCTTAAAGACACTTGGCTTCTCATACACATGAGACTATAATGTTAGCGGACATCTAACACACTCTGGGTCTTAAAGACACTTGGCTTCTAATACACATGAGACTATAATGTTACCGGACTTCTTATACACTCTGGAACTTAAAGACACTTGGCTTCTTATACAGATGAGACTATAATGTTGCCGGACATCTAATACACTGTGGGTCTTAAAGATACTTGGCTTCTTATACACATGAGACTATAATGTTGCCGGACATCTAATACACTCTGGGCCTTAAAGACCCTTGGCTTCTTATACACACGAGACTATAATGTTTCCGGACATCTAATACTCTGTGGGCCTTAAAGACTCTTGGCTTCTTATACACATGAGACTATAATGTTACCGGACATCTAATACACTCTGGGTTCTAAAGACACTTGGCTTCTTATACACCTGAGACTATAATGTTACCTGACATCCAATACACTCTGGGTCTTAAAGACGCTTGGCTTCTTATACACATGAGACTATAATGTTACAAGACATCTAATACACTCTGGGTTCTAATGACACTTGGCTTCTTATACACATGAGACTATAATGTCACCGGACATCTAATACACTCAGGGTCTTAAAGACACTTGGCTTCTTATTCACATGAGACTATAATGTTACCGGACATCTAATACACTCTGGGCCTTAAAGACACTTGGCTTCTTATTCACATGAGACTATAATGTTATCGGACATCTAATACACTCTGGGTTCTAAAGACGCTTGGCTTCTTATACACATGAGACTATAATGTTACCGGACATCTAATACACTCTGGGTTCTAAAGACGCTTGGCTTCTTATACACATGAGACTATAATGTTACCGGACATCTAGACTAACAACTAGTCTCTGAAATGAACATATTTTACTGAAAAATGTTCATAGTAAAAAAATATAAAATATAATGAAAAGGAGCCTTGAGACCTTCTTCGCTGAGGAAATCTAGACTTGCCACATTTTCTAGACTTGTGTGGGCTTTCTTGGATATATTTGCTTCAGGGTCTGTACGAGAGACTACCGGACATCTAATACACTGTGGTCCTAAACACACTTGGCTTCTTATACACATGAGACTATAATGTTGCCGGACATCTAATACACTGTGGGTCTTAAAGACTCTTGGTTTCTACACATGAGACTATAATGTTACAAGACATTTAATACACCCTGGGTCTTAAAGATACTTGACTTCTTATACACCTGAGACTATAATGTTACCGGACTTCTTATACACTCTGGAACTTAAAGACACTTGGCTTCTTTAAGACCCTTGGTTTCTTATACACACGAGACTATAATGTTTCCGGACATCTAATACACCGTGGGTCTTAAAGACACTTGGCTTCTTATTCACATGACACAATAATGTTACCGGACATCTAATACACTCTGTGCCTTAAAGACCCTTGGCTTCTTATACACATGAGACTATAATGTTACCGGACATCTAATACACTCTGGGTTCTAAAGACGCTTGGCTTCTTATTCACATGAGACTATAATGTTACTTGACATCTAGTACACTCTGGGCCTTTAAGACACTTGGCTTCTTATACACATGAGACTATAATGTTACCGGACATCTAATACACTCTGGGCCTTAAAGACACCTGGCTTCTTATACACATGAGACTATAATGGGACCGGGCATCTAATACACTGTGGGTCTTAAAGATACTTGGCTTCTTATACACATGAGACTATAATGTTACCGGACATCTAACACACTCTGGGTCTTAAAGACACTTGGCTTCTTATTCACATTAGACTATATTGTATACCGTGAACACATGTAGGTTCATTCAACTGTTGAATGTTGAAAACATATACTGTTCTGTGGCATATAACATTGTACATTTCGGAAATATAAGTCAGCCGAGGACCAGATATATTTCTTGCTCACTGCCAGAGTGAGTGAGTCGACGGCGAAACAATATAGTCTCATGTGTATAAGAAGCCAAGTATCTTTAAGAACCACAGTGTATTAGATGTCTTGTAACATTATAGTGTCATGTGTATAAGAAGCCAATTGTCTTTGAGACCCAGAGTGTATTAGATGTCCGGCTGTTGTAAAGTATCCCTGATTTGACCAATTTCTAAATGCCAATGTGTATTCCTGTAGGTACTTGGCCATCGCGTGTCATCGTACAACCAATGGCGTAGAAGGATGCTCATAGTGTTGATCATTCGTAACTACTCGCTTCTTTCCGTGACCTACAAGAAGACTCGTACCCCGATCGCACGCCATTATTGCCAAGAATAGTGGCAAACCAATCAAATCGCGCGTAGCAAAACGCATTTCGAAGCATGAAAATGGCGGCACCGTTGAACTTTGAAACTTCGCTAAACTATGCAAACCAAAAAGCACAGTTTAAACATAAACTTTGAGCTAATTTAAAGGATCAGCAACTTTAAACACTGAAACATATTTACAAAGGGGATGCCTGTATTGCTGTTTTGCCCACGGGATTAGGATATCCTAGAAGCCATGTTTGGAAATTCAGGGTTATCTTTCCTTGGCAATAGCAGTAGACTATTTTCATCTTCATGCCCGTTTGCGGGCAGGTCAGGTCCCAGTCGTAAATATGGCCACGAGAGGGGTAAGAGACG